CCTGGCGCCCGCTGCGCTCGGTGCGGTAGCCCGGCGGCGGCGCCCCGTACGCGCCCCCGCGCACGCCCGCCCCGGGCGACGCCAGCGTGTAGCGCCCGCGCTCGTCCACGCCCACCGTCGCCAGGCTGTCCGCCGACTGCAACAGGCGACACAACATGCTCAGCACAAACACGCTTACGACATCTAGTTGTACAGAATCTAAAGTACACTGGCTGGTCCGGGTGGCTGAGATCGCTAAGGCTAAGGTTCGCGAGTTCGAGCCCCGCCTCGGGCATGGTTGTATTTGTGTTCCTCCTTTCACCCCTCATCATTACCATATCACTTCTTTCAGTATAAACCTAACGTTAAATCATTAGTGGTCGCCAATGAGCTCGTAGTTAATACGTTTATAAGAATGGCATTAAACGTTGGTGAATGTTCATGGCGCTGAATCCTATTTTAAACAAGAATGAATTCGAATATTTAACTTCCTGTATCTTGATAGAACAGGTTTGTCCACCTCGCACAAGTGTTGTCGCACGCGCCGTACCGGGCTCAACACCCCTTTAATATAAAACTAGGCTGTTTACATTTCAGGATTTGTTTCGTAAATTTAAAATCTTTTTCAAGGTGTTTGACCGCGTAATGCGTGGTATGGCCTGATATCACGCATGGCTCTTCGTTTCAGAGCACCCGGGGAAAGTGCTTGAACCGTTACCGGGAAGTCAGATGTGGATCGCCCGGGTAATGAAAATAACGGCCCGCAACCATGTTAAAGCTTTTATTTGTGGCCCTTGAGGCCTTGTTTGATGGGCACCCCTGAAGTACTGCAAGAACCTTTTCCAGTTCTTGTTCTAATCCGCAGCTGTTGTCCAAACCGACTGCTCTATGCCGAGTGCTGAACCGGTGTGAGATGTCTGCCAATCTTGGAAATGTCGGTACTTAGTCTTCCTCGAAAAGTCATTGTATTGTCAAAGTGAATGCGCGCGCTCTCGAAACAAACAAATAATTAACGAGCCACGGATCGCAGAGTGGAATTATCTGTGATATTTTGAATCGTGAGCTTTTGTTGGCGCTGTTCTACGAACGTAAATAAATTATTCTTAGTAAAGCTTTAACCTTTTAACCATTTTTTTCTCACTCAAGACGTATTGGAACACGCTTTTTGTGAAGATGTGACAGAAAGTGAAGCCTTGCATTTTCTATTATTGTTGAAATAATAGATTTTGCATCTGATTTTAAACTCCAGAATCATTTTTTTAGCATTAATCGGGCAAGGGTGAAAGTGAGTGGGAGTTACTAGCGCTGATTTTTGGCGGCGTACTAAGCTACATCCACATGCCCTAGATATGCGACATCGATGCCGATGTTTTTCGAAACGTCGATGTTTTAAACATGGATGTATTGAAGTCTATAATTTTTGAGCATTGATGTTTTGAGTAAGATGTATTAACGTTTTCGATGTGTAGTTCGTAGATGAATTCTCCCTGTTTGTTTTTTGTTTGTTTCAAAAATTAACTGGTCATTAAGTTTTGGTGTCCGAACCTCACGAACGGGTGTTGTAGTACCTTCATTGAGCAGACAGTCCCACAACTAAGATGATCCTGCCACAGTGGGAATTCCTTCCTCCTATTTCGCTAACCAAGAGACGTTCTTCACTTTTTTTTCAGTTAAATTTTGATAATAATCAAATATGCACGGAGTCTACCGCATTAAATTTTGTTGCGCTGGAATTTAATGTTAGAGGTTGCGATGAGGAAAATACAGACGCCAGCTATTAGGCAGCCTATCAGGCGTCAGCCAATGAGCTTCGTGCACCAGTTTGCGTCTCAATATTAGCGTCAAAATTATATGCAGCAAGTAACCAAACGTATTACCTTATAAGTCATTGAAGCAAAATTATGATGCATTAAAAAAATATATTGCTAATTTCATTACAACTACGCCTTCATCAGGTTCTTTTGGTTGGTCATCGTTAAAAATTTTCACTTTATGCCACTTCCAGAATCTTTCTAAACACTACACGCTTGCCATGCAGCGTGACAGCCATCGCCTGGCAGCTGTGTTGCGCAGAAGCGGCAAAAATCTGTGCGCCTTTCTACCTCATCCACGTCTCTCATCATGGAGGCTTCTAAACTAGCGTTCAAAGGACGATGTTTCGAACGTCGCTGTATGTTGTTTGATGTTTTTACCCTATCGATCAGGTTTTTGTTGTTTCCCTGATACATTGAGAAAATTTTAAAATGCCTTGTTTTGCTCTTGGACATAAATGTAGCTTCACTATGCGCACGTTGTGTTGAACTCTCCTCTTGCTTGTAGTGGTAGGAGTAGAGGTAAGGCCGAGTTACAATTTCGTTATTATGCAGGAAATCAAGTGTGCAGTTCGTTTAACGTAGCAAATAAGTTTTTTAAAACTCGGGAAAGAAAATGTCAGTTTTTTAATAAGGCTACTGGCGCGATTTAAAAAATTATTTTTAATTTGTATTTCAAGTTTTCATTTGATATTTAACTAACTATTGATAATTAAAATGATGGGAAGGGATTCGGGAACTCAAGGAAACGTACAGTTTATCTTCTCCGCCATTCGACACCTATAGTATTTTACTGCTTTTTGAGTAAATAAATCTAAATCTAAATCTACATCTATCTTGCGTGCCCGTATGGGCACAGTGTACGAAGCTGTAGAGTTCAAAGTTTTTCTTAAAATGTTGCAGTTATGCAATTAGAACTTCATGTTGTTTTCTATAACATCCTACGAGGTGTCATGAGCATTTCAAAATGTCGAGAATACAAACTATTATTTAAAATTATTCACCGGTGTAATGCAATAAAATTAAGACCCGCTTGAGGCAGAGAGGGTAACTGAGGACCGACCTGCACGTGCTGCGCGAAGCGGTGCCTGGCGCTGGCGCGGCGCTCGGCGT